ATTCCTGCTTAAGAGATGGTTTTGCAGTGGAGGTGACACCTGAACAAAGACAGGGAATGGAAGTACTGTAAGGAAGCATATAGACCTTCATTTATTCAATGATTAGAACCTCTACTATGTGCAAAGCTAGGGATATAGCAATGAATAAAAGAGAGTGTTCCCGTCCTAATGTTACTTACTTTATAGCAGGAGACAGGGAGTAGACAACCAGCTACATAGTTAATTAATTGCAACTGTAACAGTGCTACAAAAAGGTTACAAGGTGCCAAGAGAACCTAAGGGGACCTGGCTGAATGCTGGAAAGGTGATGGAAGGTGGTGGTTAGAGATGGCTTCTCTGAGGAAATCATATTTACAGTGAAATCTGAAGGGTCAATACGAAGAATTCATTAGGGGAAGGAGAAGTGGAAGAGCCTTCCAAAGAGAGGTGAAAGCAGAAGCAGAAGCTGTAGTGTGAAGAACAGAAAGGACAGGGGCAGGAGGCCAGTTAGACAGCTACTGCAGGAATCCAGGTAAGAGAGCTTGCTGGTTTGGACTAAGGCGGGTATGTAGAAGCAGAGAGAAGCAGATGATAACTGATTGCATATGGGAGAGGGTGAGAAAGTGGGAACTTTCAAGTGTGATGCTAGATTTTTGGCTTAGGCACCTAGGTAGATGGTTGTACCGTTCACTGACCAAGGTTGGTGGGAAGACTGTGAATTCAGTTTTGGGCATGCTGAGTTTGAGATGCCAGTGAAATATTCTAGCTGCGATGTTAACAAAACAAGTGGGCTCCCCCAGTAATGGCTGGATTAAAGCCCCCATTCCTATGATTTTATTGTGAGACATGAACTTAAAGCTGGGTCAAAATGAGGGCTTACTTTCATTCCAATGTCAGATCTATTAATGTAACTAAGGGTTAACCATTTCAAATTCAAGTACTTCCTGAGTCTGTCAAAAGTATATAGTGCTCTTTTTCCTTGCATTTTGCAAGATGGATCTCTAAATAGGTATTTTCCAGCCAACCCTTTACCCTTTACTCTTCGCTCATCATTCCACTCCACCCTTCTTTGTGATCGAATAGTAAATTGTAAACTTAGAGCTTTACAGATTATAAAGAGCTATATAATAGTCATTACTCTTTAGTTACCTGAAATATCATATATCAGATGTTTCATTTAGGACATGTATACAAAAAAGAATCTTTGTATTTCACAAAACTTGCTTAAAAAAGTATTAACCATATTTTCTTCCTAACAATTCCTAGGTTCTCTACATTCTTAAGGATAAGCTCCATCTATTAGAACATTACATAGACAGTCATAGATGCCAATATGCAGATTTCCTTTAAATGGGGCCGGTGGGGTGTGGGGGGAAGACAGGGGAACTTCAGCTCCATTTGCAATGTTTTGTTTCATTTAAGAGGAAAGGTATGACTCTGAAGCAAATCTGTCAAATGTTGACATGTTAGTTCTGGGTGATGGGTATATGACTTGTTTTGTTCTCTCTGTTTTATGATACTTCCATTTTTTTCCCATAAAAATCTGGGAATCCACAACCAAAAGAGACATAAAAGCAATTAATTCAGAAGCAATTTCAAATGTCACATATCTATTTTCTGTTATATATGCACTGCACTCATATACATGGAATTTTTTTTATTTAACAAGTTTCATTGCTTTGGGGTACTTAATTTGTATGAAATTAATGACCCTTATCCAAAGCTCCACTTTGTTAGCAGAATGAGTGATATTACAGAAGGTGATAATTTATTGGAGTGGGGTTTTGCTAAAGGCAAGAACAAAGCTTTATACCTTTAGGTAGGAATAAATTATAGCTTCATACAAATGTACTTACTAATAAATCAAAGAGGAAATTAAGGGAAGTAAATCTATGACCCAAATGCAGACTAGTTTAATGGGATGCTTTTCAGAGATTTTTTAAGGAGTACCAGCAAATCCCTTTAGATTTGCAGCAATAAACAAAATGTTGTATGGTGCTTAAGTGTCAAAACACAAGCCTACGTGTCTATTCTTCAGAGAGAAATGTTTTCTGCCTACGTAAAATAACTCAGAGAGAAGAGGTAAAGAAAATATCAAAGGCAGATCAAGGAAGCTGATAATTGCTTTAGAGATGAATGTTATGCAGATAGACGTAAAGGCTAACACAGATATCTCACTGTTAATCCATCCAAATGATTAAAAGTAATAAAACACATCAAGTGTGGCATTTTGTTCCAAATGACTGTGGATTCATATTGTAGTAAGAAACTAGTTTTGGACACCATTTTGATTTCTCACAGAATAATTTATACTTTGAAATATATTACTAATTTAAGATTAAGTGTTGCAATCTATTTACGTTCTAATCCATTTTTCCACTGCTTCATGTAGGCACTCTTTTCTTTAATATCTTTCCATTAATTTGCTAGCATAAGCAGCTGATAAATTATTTTCTGTCATTGCTGTTTGCTCACTATTTTAATCAGAAGCTTGTCTGTGCTCCTCCAAGTCTCATAAATATAACTAACAGTTGTGCTCCTCTTAATACCTATAGCACTGTCTTCACCAAAGATGAGGCTAGGCCCCACAGTATGAACTTCCAGCAAAATGGCAACTCTCATTATTTTGGTATAGGGTAACAGTTAAGAGAAATAAGTACACTGTGCTCTGTAAAGAATCAAAGTCGAACTGCCTTAGGCATCTGTCCTTAGAAAAAGTATCATGCTATTCCATCCTTGGAGTAAGTCCAGACTGGAATGGGTTTACTGTGATAGAGAAATACCGCAAAGGATCCAATGTGACCCATATCATTTTGTGGCATGTCAAAACCAAGTTACATAGCTTTTCTTTGGGGGAGGCAGCATGCAGGTGGGAAAAAAGTGAGCTAGAGGGTAAAAACGATCTGGATTTAACCTCTGAGACTCCCTGTATAACTCTGGGCAAGTAAACTTAACCTCTGTAAAATATAAATAAGAATCCTCACTGGGTACATATAAGCATGTATGTGAAAGTAACATTCATGAGGTATCTAGTGGGCATCTACTACTAAATATTAATTTTCTTCCCTTACAGTATCACATCATAATGGGGTCTTTTGGCTCCACCTTTAAAATACTCAAAAAGAACCACAACTATGTGTCTCTCTCCACCTTTCTTTTTTTCTTTTCTGGCCGCGCCACATGGCATGCAGGATCTTAGTTCCCCGACTGGGGATAGAACTCACGCCCCCTGCAGTGTAAGTGTGGAGTCTTAACCACTGGACCGCCAGGGAAGTCCCTGTCCACCTTTAATCACTTCTGTGCCTATCCTGCCTGATCTCTGATTTACTCACTTTGGGGGCCCCTGATTTTTATAATCACAGAGATCATGGAGGAACAAAATATTATGCAGGCTTCTAAGAAGGACCCTTCCTAAATGACCTGAAAATTATGACCTACTGTATTTTTAACAACCTCTAAAGGGACTTACAATCACCACTGGTAACTCATTACATTAATTTAAATTCCTTATAAACAAATTCCTACTAATGTCTAAATGATGCATTGAAGCTCCTTTCCTACCTTACTTTGTGAATATGATAAATTACAGACCCATCATACAACATTCCTTGAAATATGAAAACTGTAATCATGCTCCTTCGATCAGGCTCCACTTCAGGCCAAGAAAATGATATCACTGTTACCAAAGTGTCTATGTATTAAGTAATACAAATTTACCACACAGCTTAGTAGCCAGAAAAGAAAATGGGCTTTGAGGGTCTGTTATATACACTTATTAGCTATGGGGACCTTAGGCAAGTTACTTAACCTCTGAGCTTCATTTTCTACATCTGTAAAATGAGGATAATATATCTTAAAGAATTTTTTATGTAAAGGGTTAAATTAAATGAAATAATGTAGACATTCAAAATATAGTCACTACTGTCATCTTAAAATAAAAAGAAGGCTGAAGAGGAAAAAAAAAAACCCAAACACATACCATGTTTACTGCATCTTGATCGAAAGGGTTCCATTCTATATTCTGAGGATAGTGGGCCAGAACTTTGGATTTGAATGTTCTTCTCAAAGGACTCTGGTCAAAATTTTCACCTACAACAGATAATTAGTAATTAGTTAATATCAAGAACTTTTTCAAAAGCATGTCATAGTTTTATTTTTATTTTGTATATATACTGACTGATAATGTTGAAATCTGATTCAATTTCTACCTCTAATAGTCTCAGTTGTAAATTTTTCAATGGACAACTGAAAAGGAAATGTTAATAAGAGATCTGCATTTAAAAGTTCAGAATCTGAATTTTAAAATCCTGGCTACACAATTGATACTAAAAATCAAGACATGCTAAAATAATCCTTGCTGTAACCTAATTACTGTCCTCATTTCAACATGTGGTGACCAAAAAAAAAAAAATCTATTTGGAAACATTTAACTCACTAAAGAAACATCTCAAATTAAGCTAATTATACTTCTTAAGATCCTGAAATTTTGTACATGGATAGACTTAATGCTGCAGTGCCCAAAGGAGGCAACTTTGCTTGAGTTCCCACAAAAATCTCTGGTAAATTTGCTGCATCTCTATGCTTTTACAAGTAACATTATTAACAGAATCAGAAACATCATTACTGAGTTGTCTGGTTTAGCAGACAGAACACATTAAGCACACTAACCTCTGAAAAGGAACAAGCTATTCTAAGCCAATTTCATCACCTGTTAAAATTCTGGAAAGGTAAAAAGACTATCCTTTGATTATTATATATAAGAAAATTCAGTAATAATTGTTAGCTCAGTTCTTTATGTCCTTGACCAAATTAACACCCATGAGACCTGTTACCTCCAAATGCCTTACTTTCACAAAATATTTTAATATGGATGGATCTCAAATTCTCAGTGTCAAAAAGTTGAGATTAAGGAATTAGAAGACCTTGGGAGCAATACCATTCTGTCTCCTGTGTTCTTTCTACTTGTTAAGTTCTAAGTAAGTACAAAACACAAGCTGATGTATCAAAAGATAAATACCACCTACCAGTATTTGTACAAATAAAAATATCATAAAGCAATTCATGAGTCATATTTGGACACCTAGTTAGACTCAGTTTCCAACTCTGGTAAAAATATAAAAGACGTATACTAAAACACCTTTCAGTGCAAAACTTATCAGATCACAGAAGGAGGGAAAAGCCACACTGTAAAATCTTGTTGGAGACTGCAATATAAAATACACAGGAGCGTTTTTGAATAAAGGCACATAATTTAAATAGATTTACTGCAGCAACTAACCTTTTACTTCTAATTTAAGCCCTTGGCTAATGATCATTTTCCTTTGGATTCCTCTTACTTATTTAGGCAAGCACTTCATCTCTATGTCTTTCTACCTCATATTTCCATCTTCTAAGAGATAGAGAGCTTTCACTTCTAGAAGAGAAACTGTCAAAGGCATCCCTAAGGAAAGTTTATCAATTTCTGCACCATGCCTCTAGGGTATGGGAAAGTCAATGGAAAATGTGAAACCAGTCATGGGGTCCACTACCTCTGAAGAAAGGAGTGAGGGCTCAAGGTTGATTTCAGAAAGGGTAAATGGTACCTTTAAGCTGGTACTAGATTTTCATGCAAACGCTAAGAATTTTTAGATTATTTACTTCTTCATTAAAAAAAGAAAGGTTACTTTTCACTTCAAGTCAGAGAAAAAGAAAAACAAAAATTCTCTCCTGGTTCTAAGGTTTATGCTGCTGACTGTGCTAGTGACACAGCAACGGGATATCCTCAGATAATACCCAGCCATCAAGAAACCCTCTCCTTCGCCCACCCTCAAATACCAAAAATGCTTATTTTATCATTCACAAATGTAAATAAAATATGAAATACCGCAGGAGTAGAAGAAACAGCATATAATGCAGGATATAATCCTTGCAACACTTACCTTTTAATGAATTCCTGCCTCAGTTTGGTTAAAATAGTAACATTATCTTCATTCATATATCAAGTTACTAATGGGTCAGGAAATAAATCAGAAAAGTCATGATACTGCCATTTTCAATATAATTGTCCTGTTAAGGAAGGAACACCACACCCTCTTGAAGCACAATGAATCAACCAGAAGAGAAAGAAGGAAAACCACCTCCAGGGAGAAAGAATTTCACAAAAACAAAAACCCAGGAAACAGAAATACAAATCTAACAAAAGAAAAACAGAACCACCACCACCACCATCACTTCTTATGAGACTGCTTTAGAAGGGGGGAAGATCATTGCTATATACACAGCTGTCTTGGCAAATATTATTTTGAAGAAAATTTGGAGAAAATCTGAGTGATAATTCTGATAACACTGTTAAGTATTCAGAGGTGAGTAAATGCAGCTATTCCTACTAGTACCAGTCAAAGAAGAGAATCTTGGAGATGCCTTTTGGAGGTGTGAGACAGAGCAACAACCTAACCTTTGCACTTTGAACCCATAAACCTCTAACATAGAATTTATTGCTAGGACTTAGCAGGAAAAATGAATCAGTCTAAGAATTTGGATTCCCATGAAATGGAAATTACATAAGTATGCTTTACTTAACTTAAAATCCACCTTTTAAACATTATCCTGAAATAAACAAGGATTATGAATTTGTGCAAATATTAATATCCCACACAACAACTACAAGTGGACTTAATTTCAAGTAATATTGCCAAGTAACCTACTGACCTTAAGCTACAATGAAGACTTTTCTCCTAAGAAAATAGGACATATCTGCCAAGAGAGCTTAAACACTAATGAATAAATAATTTCTTCAAGGCTTGAAGCAAATGAGGTCTTTACAAAAATTAAGATGCAAATGAGAGAACAGAAATACAAAATAATACCTTTTTTTTTTGCCTAAACAAAAGTGAGTAAAGAAGCAATTTGATGGGCTTGGGATGAATTAAAATAATAATTTCTAACACCTCAACTTTTATTTTTATTTTTACCTGAAGTCGTATTTGCAGCACCTTGGCTCTTGCCATGACGATCTGCTTCTAGCCATTGGTACAAAACTACATAATGTAACAGAAACAAAAAAGCTTTATGAACAAAGAAACACAAACAAAAAAGCAAAAATGACTGTGAAGAATGGAAAATGAGAATTAAAAAATTAAACAAAAGCAATTAAACATGAGACATTAACATCAACGGAACATAGCTTAACACTAATAGTATGTAGCTTATAAGCTATTAGTAATAAGAAAGGAAAGAGAATAGGTAATTGTATTTTAATGTAATAAGCGAAATGCTATTGAAACATCTGTAACAGTTATTCATATGGGGAAAAGTACACACTTTTCTTAATGCTAATTTAAAGAGAAATATCAGGAGAAAGCTAATGTTTCTATAGTCAGATATAATAAAATATGGTAGTAAGACTAAATGACCATCTATGGAAATTGCATCCCAATTTCTGCAAACCTATCAGAATGGCTGAAGTCCAAAAAACTGACTATACCAAATGCTGACAAGTATGCAAAGAGACAGAACTCTTGTAAATTGGTGGTGGTAATGCAGAAAGGTACAGCCACTTAGGAAAGACAGTTTGAAGTTTCTTACAAGGCTAAACATAAACATGATCCTATAACCCCAGTCTAATCAGTAGAGAAACATAATACAAATTTCAAGAGGAGCAACCTACAATATACCTGATGAATACTTGTCAAAACTGTCAAGGTCATCAAAAACAAGTAAGGTCTGAGAAACTGTCATAGCCGAGAGGAGCCTAAGGAGACAACACAACTGAATGTAATGTGGTATATTGGATGGGTTCCTCCAACAGAAAAAGGACATTAGGTAAACAAAAGGAAATCTGAATGGAGTACAGACTTTAGTTAACAATAATGTGTCATATTGCTTCATTAACTGCAATACAAGCATCATACTACCCTAGGATGTTAATGACAGGGAAAACTGTGCATGGAGGGAGGTGTGGTGGGGTGTATATGGGAACTCTCTTATTATCTTCTCAATTTTTCTGTAAATCTAAAACTGTTCTAAAAATCAAGTCTGTTTTTAAAAATTACATTCCAATATTTAATGTAAGGACAAAAACATATATTATATCCAATCTTATAAGTAGTCTACCTTTTGTAAAGGCTAACACAGATATCTCACTGTTAATCCATCCAAATGATTAAAAGTAATAAAACACATCAAGTGTGGCATTTTGTTCCAAATGACTGTGGATTCATATTGTAGTAAGAAACTAGTTTTGGACACCATTCTGATTTCTCACAGAATAATTTATACTTTGAAATATATTACTAATTTAAGAAGATTAAGTGTTGTAATCTATTTACATTCTTATCCATTTTTCCACCGCTTCATGTAAGCACTCTTTTCTTTAATATCTTTCCATTAATTTGCTGGCATAAGCAGCTGATAAATTATTTTCTGTCGTTGCTGTTTGCTCACTATTTTAATCAGAAGCTTGTCTGTGCTCCTCCAAGTCTCATAAATATAACTAACAGTTGTGCTCCTCTTAATACCTATAGCACTGTCTTCACCAAAGATGAGGCTAGGCCCCACAGTATGAACTTCCAGCAAAATGGCAACTCTCATTATTTTGGTATAGGGTAACAGTTAAGAGAAATAAGCTATGCAAACACAAGCTCAAGTTTGCTCGGTACAGAGATTCCATTAGTCAACTATCCTCTTATGTACCATTGACTAAGAAGTATCAACTCTTGGGAAAAAGTTTACTACAATGAGGACACAGGCTATTAAAAAATTCACACTAGAGCTCTGTAACTTAAAAGCTTTGAAGGGTGTGTAAACTTCTGTATGTCTTAGAGATCTCAGAGTCTTTCCTTTAAAGAGCCAAATAATGATCACTGTAGGGTCCGAATAGCCGGGGAACCTTCCTATCCACATCTCAAAGGTCTGAACGATCCCAAGAGAGTAGCACAGGCTAAGCTTCTACTTTGGGATGCTATTTATCTATCCACAGATATTGTGAGAGTTCTAGGTCACAAACAAGGTTTGCAGAAATTTTCTATGCTCTCCCTCCACAAAACAACAATAACAGGGCTGGGAAAGCTACCTATGGAACTCCTGAACTGAAGGAATAAAGGAACTGATTC